ATTTGTCTGTTATCTTAAAAAATATCTAGCGGATATTATCTTACTGAAGTTCTTGTGAGCGTAGATGTTGTTCCGTGAATATTTCAATCCCAAGCTGATGTTTGTCCTTTTTGGCATTAGTTGAACAGCAATATACACGTGAATACAAAAAGTGAAACTAAATCTTGACAGCAAATGTGAAAGCTCAAACTTCATTTGCTGGAAGGACGCTAAAGTTTTTTTTTCTACTTTGGCTGAGCTTTTTGTTCTACTCCATCAAAAACTTACAGTCATCCTCGGTGATCATTCATTAATATGTTTATACTATTTTTTAATATGATTATACAATTTTTTAATCATGATTATATCATTTTTCATCGCTCTTAAAATGCCCTTTAGACAGGACTGATTTTAAGAAAATATGAATGCTAGAGGCATTTTATAGTACAAGTAATATCTTGAGTGTTTTAACCTAATTCGGGTATGCTGAAGACGATGAGAGTGGATACCAAGAAAATAAAATTGACCTTGACCTTCAAAAGGTCAATTCAAAATGGCCGCTTAGAAATACTAAAATAGTTCATTAAAACTATGATACAATATGATGCAATTAATTATTCCTGTCAAAATCAAATGATTATTCAATATTCTCTAAGTTTATACAATTATTAGGTAAACAATACAAAATTTCTAGTAATATATATAGGTTTAGACACGTAAAATCATCCAAAAAAAAAGGTCATAAAGGTCATATATAATTTTATTCCGCAAAGCATGATTATTATTATCATGTAAGCTAAAACTACATTTCGTTATTAAACTAATATCATATTTAAGAATTTTACTGAATGAATTTGATACTGAAGCTTTGAAAGAACTTTACTGTGTTATGCAATAAAGCTCTCAATATCGTTTTATATGTATATTTCACATCAAACACTCATGAATTGAGTGCCCATTTGTTATATATGTACACATGCCTGTATTTGTCACAGTCTGAAGCATTTGTTTGGATAAGTCGTTTAGTCTTTCAATATGTTGTTTTCTGATTTTTGTTTAGTGCTGCAAGAATGTGATAAAAGGCTATGTCGGTCTTAGAAATAAACGATTAAAGGGCAGATTGAAATAATTTCAATTATTAGCATTTCCAGAAACTCTAGAAATCGTCATTCAGCCGGGGTTTTCGAAAAAAACCAATCGTGAAAAAACTTATTCCTGAACAAAAGAGCTTCTCTTAAGAGAAATATTCCATATATTGTTTACCCAGTAGGACACACACACTGGATTCATAAGGTTTTGCATATGAAGAAAGTAGTTTAATTCTATATAAAGCTAACACGGAAGAAAAATGGCGGATGGCGTGCACAATAGGGGTCCCCTTTTGAGGTTTTTTGACTTTTAATTTGTTATCATGTGGCATTAAAGTATGCATTTTGAATGGCTTATGGGGAGAAATGGTTGAATCTTGAGGAGACATTTTATTTTATTTTTTGGTTTTTAGGGTTTTTATGGATTCCACTGCAAAACAATAAGGCTATGAGCGTATCATGCCATAATCTCATTGACTTTGAACCTAGTTTGGTTAAGACTATCGGTCATTTGAACTTTGGAAATAAAATAGCAAACGCAACTGTAAACGCTTTCATTTTCAAATCCCACAAGAATCAGCTAAAACGCAATTGAGAGCCTTGGTGAATATTAAAAGATTTTGGCAAACAGGTTATATGCTTGAGATGAGAAAGTTGATAGCATTTATTAGCGTGGCATGTTTATAAACAAGTGTATTAGGACAAGTTAATCTATTACGGGTGGCTTGAAAAAATTAACTGTAGTGATCCCAAAAGCAATCAAATGAAGCCAACTCAATCGGTCAGTAAATACCAACAGGACTATTTGTCCATTTTTTTTGGGGGGGGGGGGGGGGTAAATGCAGAAAATGTATGGTGGTTAGGGAGTTGGGTGTTAAGAACTGATAAGCAATCATACGGTCATACCAGTCTTCTGATAACTCTCCTACAACTTTTATATGGGAAGCTCGCTCTCAGATTAGATAATGTTTCCGTTGATGCTGAGTGTCTTGGGGACTTAGGTTTAGTGATAGTGATGGTTATGGTAGCTATTGGAAGGCCTATGTCCCAGTGAGTAATGGTGGGGGAAGAGAAGTTCAAGAGTGGCTCAACCTCTGACCATTTAGTTATGTTGGGAGTAAGGATAACTTCAAGAAAAGCAGTTCCTGAATTATATAAGTATACCCAGTGATTAAGTGGATCATTACCTTTAGAAACAAATTACTCAAATGTAACATCACTTATGGATAATCAGACCTTGGGCAAATTTCTTTAAAAAGTAAGTGATTAAGTCTTATTCTTTTACAACAGTTGCAATGAATTACTCTTAACTTTTCTCCATGGATTGACAGAGTAACATTATTTTTGCATGGGCAATTATGATACTTTCTGATTACTTTCTATTGTCTCGTTTTAAATTTGCAAAGACCTAGTATAAGTGTGATAATACAAAGCAAACTATTTTATTTGAATTCGGTACGTATGTATATGCAATTCATGTAGCAGTAGTATTGTGTTGAAGGGTTACAATTACAAAACTCTTGGGCAATTTTAGTCTGGATATGCATGTTGTAGTTTTATCTGTTTGGCTGACATCACAGTAGAACACTTTGTCGTAACCAAGTTTCGTGCAAGCTTCAAATACAAGTTACTGTTATTTAAAAAAGGAAGCCAAAACGTTTGCATAATATAATGGCCTTTTTTTAAATGTTAATTATTCATAAATTGCGTGGTATAGGGTTTCTTGTGAAGAAAATAAAACAAGCATTTAGAAGAATTTGAAGTCATAACTATGACATCTCATTCGATGACAAAGTCACAAGGCGATAAATATTGATGCCAACAAAAAAAAAATTTTCTTAGTCTGGCCAAGGGGAGGTTTTTGATTCAATATGAGTTTTATAATATGCATTATTAATTAACTGTGCACTATTGGGCGCATTAGCACTTGCAATTCAGAGCTGATGCATTTTCACTATGACATTCTGGATAGAAAACTCAGTCATTATGAAAAAACACATCCATTATGAGAAAAGTCGACCGTTTTAAGATTCAGACATTCTGACTGACCGTTTGACATGGCCATTATGAAGCTCACGCTAAACATTGAAAAATCCCGATGCCATTGCGTTATATATAATAATTAAAGGTTTTCATAATTAAACTCTTATTTAGCTTGAATTTCTTTGGCTTTATGACAATGTCATTATGAAAACAAACTCCAATTATTTGACATTAAAGTAATACAGCTTTTTCCCTAATGTTGTTGCTTTTATGGGTCAATAAATAAAATTTGTAAGTCGCTGGATAGGGCCTTTTAACTGGGATCAAAATATAATGCCTTCAGATATGTATATTTCAAATGATGCATTTAGTCTCAAGAGGAAGCCTCATTCACTGACATCTGACTTGGAAACCAGTGCATGCATGGAGGATAGGGGTTGTTTGACAGTTATAAGAAATCCTTTAGTGAAGCAAAATTAAATCTAAGCTGTTATATAAGTGTTATTGGTTTTAAATACTTAATATTTCCTAGGAATTTCAATATCGCAATAAGTGAATTGCATTGGGCAGCTCTGAGGAGTAAGAGTAAACTATTTAGAAATTTCTCAGGCGGTTAGTCAAGTTTAAAAAACCTTGTTGAAAGAAATACTGGCATATAGTGCTGTGCAAATATAAGTAGGAATCTGAGTAGCCACTTTAATATGCTTGCATAGAGTGCCAGATAAAATACACGAAGCTCTATATATTTAGCAAATAGGACAGGGAAGAGTGTAGTGTTCGCTGCCGAAAACCCTTAATATTGTGATGGTTCAAAGGAGTAGGGACTTTCTAGAAATTTTACATTCTAGTCTCTTATGTTAAAATGCCTTAAAATATTTAGTACTATCTGTAATATTACTTCGATATTACTATTATATTGGCCTATAGAAAAATGTCCGCCATCTTGGATTTTTCGACCATATTGGATTGTTGTTTGTTTTTAATTCTGTTTTGGTGTCTAATTTTTTTTTACCTAAACATGCTTTGTGTCAAATTTCAGGCTTTTTCTATCTTTAAAAGTTTTATTTGATATATCATCCATTTATGATAAGGAATTTTGCGGTTCCTATATTGGCCTTAAGAAAACGTCCTCCATCTTGGATTTTTTCTGGCCATATTGGATTGGCTTTTTTAAAATTTTGTTTTGGTGTCTAATTTGTTTTCACCTAAGCATGCTTTGTGAGAAATTTCAGGCTTTTCCTTTCATTAAAGTTGTATTTGATATATCATCCATTTATGATAAAGAAATTTGGCGGCCATTTTAGTGGTCATTTTAAATGGCCATTTCAATGGTCAAGATCAAGTTTTTCAGTTTGGTATCCACCTTTATCGGATTCAGCATACCTTAAATAGGTAAAATACACCAAGATACCGCTTGTACTACAAAATGCCTCTAGCATCTTATAGAGAGCCAAATTCTCAAAATCAGTCCTGTCTACTTGCAATTGTTTTACTAAGGTCACCTGAATGAATACCTTTTGTCATATGTTCTGTCATTGGTTTTGACAACCACCTAGCACTCATCGTTCAAGTATGCTTCCTGAAATGTTTGTTTTTAAAAATAACACTGACTTCATGGTGTCATTGTTTCAGCGGGTCTCAAAAACTAAGATTTATTATCATTGAAATGTTTCCTTATTTCCGAACCCGAGCTTGAAATATATTGTGCAGGATATGCAGGCTTATGACTCTACAACTTCTGAAGAAGGCTAGAGGCGTCACACTTATACTAACTTTTGAAATAAGTTTTGCTCATTTATATTGAGTGTTTTAAATTGAGTTAAAGTTAAATCTGAGGAGCATTTTAAACATAAGGGTAAATTAAGACAATTCATTTTATAATTATGCATGAAAATGTATATTAATGAGACACACACAGCGTAAGGTGTAAGGTATATGCAATGATATTTTATATTTCTTTATTCAGCATCTGTAGGTCAAGACATTCGATATTCGCAATGGGACACCTGTATGAAATACAAGAACAATAAAGAAACAAGCATGGATTTGTTTGACTCATTAAATGATATCCCTCAATGTATGTCAAATAATGACATATACAATAATGTACAAATGATTATCTCAATTTGCTATAATATATTTATCATGCAATCACCATAAGCTGTCAAAATGACAAGATAAACCGTAAATATTACTGCATTCGAACAATTGTAAATATAATGTTGCATTTATTGACAAATAATAATAAATTGACAACATACATATTTCATAAAAATAGTTTTACACTGTACAAGAACATTCAGAATATTATACAAGTATCAAACACCAGTCTGACGAAAATAATGACAAATATTATAATTATGAGAAAAACAAAATTGCATTTTTATATTGTTTTTACATTTCACACCAATGAATCAAATAGACATATCAATATGGAGATTATCATTTCAAGTAATGTATTGAGTAAAAATGTATTGTTTTTATGATTTGTTTTATCTGCTTGATAAACTGCAATGGGTGTATATGTTTTTTTTTTGACGTCTGTTTCAATCAAACTAAATCATATTTTTCATGGCAGTGAAGACTTCATTTAAGATATAGATAAAAATATTGATGGTCACTTAGCTGACAGATTTACCTAGGTTTATATGCCCTAACACGCAGCTATTCTTTTCGAGGGCTATCTTAATTAAATTGATAAAAAAACCCCAAAAGATTGGTCTATTTAGATTATTGATACAAACAATTCTGGTGAACCTCCTTCTTGTTGGAGAGATATGTTCTTTAAATCTAGCAATATACTTTCAGTTGTAAAAAGTAAATGTTGTCTATTGTAAAAAAGCACAGGCATTCAATTAATAAAACGTAATTCATTGAATTGCTCTTTTATCACACTGACATGTAATTTTCATTTCAATTAGTTCTTATTGATAACATGGTAACAGAACATCACAATGAAATAATAGTTAACTATTTTAAAAATAAAAACATGGTTATCAGATTTTGATGCACATTAATTATTGCCGATGGAGTTAAAGACCCTTTCAGCAATTTGCCAAGGAAGCACTGAAAAATAATAACATCTTATAAAGCAGAAAAAATAAGTATTTCATTTATACGAACCAACATTTCTTGTTTATACTTCATATATATATCTCGCAGATATATCAATATGATCATTTATCATTAAAACTTGATCTTTTTTTCTGTTACAAGGCTTATTTTATCTTCTTCTCAATAACGCCATTTAAAAAAAACAAATATTTGACTTTTCCTTAGCAAGTGCTAGAGGATGTGAATGGCCTGCGTACATGAATTCATGCCGTCGATCATATATATCCTGCAATATTTTCAGTTTGGCAGAGCTGGGATGTCCTCCTCTCACTATTTTAATGCTGTAAAGTGCAGATTCTTACCATTGTTTCTTGATGTTCAAATCAGCAGTTGTTTGTTTTGTACATTTAAAAGATAACATAAAAGTGTTTTCACATGACTTTTCGATCTGCTATGCATAATTGTTTTATCTTAAAGTCGCAACATTTCCCGTTAAATTAAAATTATGATTTTTTTTCTTATTGATATCGCATTTATCATGATTGGTGACAATTCAGCATTTAATTATTTTGTATTGGAAAGAATTCAATCTATAACTAATAACTATCGGCAAATTTATTCTAGGATATTTTAATGTTTGGTATGAATAGCAAGGAACGGAATTAAAACTTCGCTGAAATGATTAATCAACAAGTTTTGATAATATCATTATTATAATAGCATGTCTTTAATATTAAGGAGAGGATATATTTAAAAGCTTCATAAAGCTTTAAAATTATTAAGAACGAACAGTCAGCATCATGATTGTTATCAGAACGTTATAAGCCCTCTTAACTTCTATGATTAAAAGAGCACTTTGCATCAGAACTCCTAATTTCTATTTCTGAATAGCATGTGTCCAATTATTGCAAAACACCTACTTTGAAACGACCAATTAAATCAATCCGGCATCACTTATGTTGGACGACCTTGAATATTTCAATTTATTACATTTACCATTATATAACCTTTTGCATAAATGTTCCTACACAAACACACTGTAATATCCTGTTTTTTACACACTAAGATAGCTTTGTACGTTAAATAAGATTACTATTTGCATCATCCATCACTTTTTAAATAATTTACAGTTTGTTTTATCCACATATTTCTGTTTTAAATAAAATATATAAAATGCACCTGTATATAAACTTACAATTGAAAGTGATGGCCTCATCAAGGATTTGCATTTAAAATGTTAAAAACAGTTTGTTTGATTAATTTGAAGTAAGCTATAGATAATATATTCTACGACCTGGACCTGTTAAATTGTCCTGAACACATATGGCCAGTCTCTTTCGTCGCCTTCATTAAGTAAAAATTCAATTTCATATTTCGATAACATCTATTTTAACATCAGGGTTTTCATTACTATCAACTTAACTATAAGTCTACCGAACTATTGATACTCATTGAAAAAACAACACTCCTATCCAGTTTGTCTGTTCTCAAATTTTTGATTATTTAACTTATTTCATGCACGTGCGCAATGAGCGTCTTGCATATCACGAACCATTTGATTGTCATGTGTAATATTCCTACAAAGTTGTTGATTCTTTGAAGTCATCTAGGTTTATTATAACTCTTTTACCGTTCATATTAGGGGTTCCAGTTCGAGATTCGTCGGGACTGTCATCTTTTTGAGCCGCTTCTGTCATGGCAGATAATTTGTGTTGCAAATGTCTGTTTCCTATCTTCATATTACGCTGTTTAAGTGTTTCAAGCTGAGTATAAAGCCTTCGAAATTCTTCCTAAAAAATAATTCAAATGAATTTGTATGGTTGGGTTTTATTTCTAAAGCAGCATGGAAGCTAATTGTAAACATATTTGGTGATTCAAAAAATACAGCATTATTTCCGTGAAGTTCTGTACTAAAACAAACAAAATGTATGACAATAAAGTAAAAGTAGCGTTTTCTACGCCGTTACTGGATAAGTATGACAATGTCATCCAATCAGCACGTCTCAAGATGGTATAATGAATTTTGAAAAACAAATTAATTAAAAAGAATAAAACATTACAAGAAGCGGTAAAAACTGTTATGGTAAGGTTTAATTCCATTTTTACTGAAAATCGTCAGTAAAACACTTTTTTTCCTTTTATAATCCACCGTGATACTGATTAGGCCGATATAGATAAGGGGATTTATTATTCAAAATAGTCACTTTTCAAAAAAGCGATGGAGACAATCACAGGATCTGGCACACCCTCGAGCCTGGGTCGTAAATAAAGTTAGTGAATATGTACGCCGGCACAACTTCATTTCTAAATAAAAAACGGATCTGTATAAATTTGATGTAAGAAATCTTCATATATCTTTTATTTGCCCAAACTACAAAGAAAACCAAAACAAAGTAGTTTATTTATTTCCCTACATACTGAATTCGATCCTAGATTTCGTCAGACACGGATACCAAAAACCGATATTTTCCCCCATCCGTTTAGTGAGTCTCATACTAGAAATAATCTGGACAAAAGAATGTCGTACTGGAAAAGTGGACTGTTTGTTTTGAAGCAAAATCTGTCACAATTATCTACTTTGTAAAGCAATTATTGCAATTTATATAATTGAAAAGCTATTTTGTAATGTTAGGTAAACGGTGGTTTTTCGGCATGCTGTTTTAAAAATCTGGCAAAAACATGCTGCTAAATAGATCAAGCTGACAAGGCCCTAACTTGATGCAATGTATTAAATGCAACCTTTTTCATTTCGATGATAAAATGTCCCTTCCCTGATAAAAGAAAAAAAGTGAATCATTTTAGCTTTTAGTATCTGCTTCTATTGTAATAAAGGCTATATTAAACAAATTACATAAAATTACAAAAAACAGACGTTTGTCTACTCAAATGTTATCACCTCTGCTCTTTGAATATTTCTTTGCAGGAAGTAAAATACAAAACGAGGAAAACCAATCAACTGTAAATGTCGTTGAATAGCAAAGCAGAATTAAGAGGTGACAATATGACAACATGTGTCTGGTCACTAATTTACCAGCATCACGAAAACGAAAGTTTATCTAAGAAACACAACCATCAAAAGATGGTGTTTCGAAGAAAATATTGTATTATTATAGAACATAATGTAAATTCGTTATGTATTTTAAAACAAAAAGCATACTTCTAATTCTCCTAATGAAATATACTATAACATGTTTAAAATGTATTCCCCTTTGTACACCGTTTTCATTCGATTTATATGTGAGTGTAACAGTCATAACTTAAAGGGCGAATACTTTCACTTCAAGTTTCTTTAAACAGACCCCATAATTAATTGAAATAAACTTTATTTAATTAAACATGCACTTGAATATAACAAAAACACACACGTACATATATATAAATTGGTTTCTTTTCATACAGACGGATGTTTTCAGATACTGAGGCATATCAAAGCGTACAATTATTTCGAGAATTCCATTTTGTGTGTCTGTGTATAAAGTTTATTGAGACTTAATTTAGTGATTACCGCCAATTTGATAACCACTGAGATAACGCCCGTGTCGCTTTTATCACATAATCCATTTTATTCTGATTCTGGCTCGAGTCTAGACTTGTTAGTTTGTACCTCAATGATTGCATCGTAAATGTCTTTATAGCTGAACACCACCATAATCCTCTATATTTATGCAACGTTTGCAAAATGGCTTTTAACTTATAAGAATATAAAACTGCTTTAGCCCCGGTTCCATCTCGTTATAATACGAGTATTGACAATATTGCAAGATAACATTTAATTTGTTGCAAATATTTTGTTAAAAAAAGTTTTCCCCAAAGCATACAATTGATCGGTAAAGTCAGACACAGTTGACGGAGCGCAGTTTGCAGTTGCTGTTATCACTTCTAGAGGGTTATACTGATCAGATCTAAGATTGTTTTATGACTCTATGAAGAAGAAAAGACAATCCAACAAAAAAGATAATCTTTAAAAGCAAATCAGACTTTAATCGTTCTTTTTTAAAAATTGGTTTAAAAAGCTTTTAACCCAAAGTTAAAAATCGGTTTTTAAATTATTTTCAATGGAAATGAATTTAATTTACCCCAAAAAGAACAAAAACAAAATTAAAACTCCGGAATTCGCAAAAATCTTGTTAAAGAATAAACAAAAAAGATAATGTACCCCAGAGGAAAAAATTATTTTTGGGAAAAACTTTTCCATTTTTTTACAAATTAAAAATTTGAATGATGCAAATTTTTCACCCCTAATGGTCAATAAAAAAAATTTTTTTACTGTAAACACGGGAAAACCCCTATTTTTGTGGGGTTGCCTTGGGTTTAAAAAAAATTTTTTTAAATTTTGTTTTGGGAAAAATTTTTTAAAAAAAGAGGTATTTCTTTTCCCCATCGGAAAACCCAAAGAATTATAATTTGTTAAAAAAGTTTTAAAATATAAAATAAATAATAATAAATAATTAAAATAATAATAATAAAAATAATGATGATAAATTTATAATAATTATAAAAAATAATAAAAAAAAAAATTAAAAAATGATTATTATTTAAAAATTACCAAATTAAAATTTTTATTTAAAAAAGACATTGATTTTTTACTAAAGTTTTTAACATGGAAATTACAGGAAAATAATATGGAATTTAATATTTGAAAAAAGTTTAAATTAAGGGCATAATTTCCCCAATTTTTCAAAGTGATTTAAAATATTTTGTCTGGAAGTCAAAATTCTTTTTTTGATTTTATTTTGCTTCTTTGATGACAATCTTTTTCACATTACCCCTACCTTTTTTTCCCCAAAGTTTAGCAATCACCCAAACATAAATTAAATTTCCTTTATTTCAAAACATTATAAACTAATATTTTTCTCTTTCTAAAAAACAAAGAAGGGAAAAAATTATTTGTTTCTTATTAAAAGGGGCCCTTTTTATTGGAGGGGTGTGTCGGCTGCCCTAGGGGTGAACGGTACAAAAACTGCTCTTTTTTCTAGTATAGTCAAGAAACAAGCTCATGCCCAACCTGCAGAATTTTAATTTTGCCGTTTTGGGCATTCTTTAGGTATACTATTTCTCCTTAATAGTTTATTGCATACATAATGTCCTTTGATGTAAGTGCTTGTTCCTTTTTTTTCTAATCACCAATGTCACCTTAATGAAAATGTGAATGGGAAATACGAATAGCATATCATAGCAAACCCGGTGTAAGCTGTCAAATAATACTTTATTTAAAGGACTCCTCTCCGTTTTTTCCATAATGGGACTGAAGACACTTTAATAGGAGCAGTAGTCCAGTGGTAGGACGCGCGCTTAGGGATCGAGAGGTCCCGGGTTCGAACCCCACTAGGGGCACTGCTAATTTCCTTGAGCAAGAAATTTACCTGCGATTGCTTCACTTCACCCAGGTGTAAATGGGTACCTGCGAGGGTGGTATAAATCCGTTGCGCCAAAGTGTCGGCTGCACTAAGCGGAGTTAAAAGACTCCCCAGGGAGATTGATAGATAGATACCAGTAGCCCGATGACCAGGGGTAATAGCTGTAAAGTCGGTGAACGTGCGTAAGCATGAAACTTAGACTATAAAATGCAATTACTTACTTTTAATACTTTTATGAGATTTGTGTAAAAAATTTATGACTGTGGACGATTTGATCCAGACCATTAGGTCTAGACCAAAACTTGTGTACAAAATTTGAGATCATCCGCTCGCTACTTTTTAAGGACTCATTTTTATTGTGACTCAAAGTAAAAATCGGTCTATTAAATGCTTTAACTCAAATTGGTCTAAGAAACAATGTAAACATCGGTTTTTATTTTAATCACGAATTATTCTTTATGTCTATATTTTATCGTTTGGATCTTCTTTAATGTTTATATGAACTAACTTGCAGCATGAGCCGGCCACTCTGCGTGTTCATTTGAAAGTACGATATTGCTTTGCGGTTATATTCGGTTACGTTTGTGTGACACTGGCAAGTCCCGCAACTCTTATTGGATTTTACTGAGTAATTAGCATAGAAACATCCTTGATAAGAAAGTTATTGTGTTAGGTATATCTGACAAACTTCTGAAAGTATTCAGTTGCATAACTGTAGTTTATTGGTTTGAGCAGAGTTATCTCCCTTTTCTTGTTTACTGTTATTATCCTTCTTGAAATTATTGAATGGCTTGTGTTTTACTATGAAGTACTGATAATTTTTCTGCGATGCTACATATTTTGTATAAGATTTAATAATAAATTTATTTTACTTGCAAAACAAGAAATGGAGAAGGAACATTTTAGAACTAAACCATTCGTAAAACTAAAGATAATTATTTTGATTTTTAACATACATTTCTGCGAAAGACGTATAATAAAGTGCAAGACTCGATCTAAGGTTGCATTTTGATTAATATATTCTAACAACAGTTTATGTCTACTTCACGCCTAAATTCTTGAATGGTTTTTGATATTTAAAACTAATATTTGTTTTATTTTCATATTTCGATATTTAAAACTAATATTTGTTTTATTTTCATATTTCAATATTAAAAACAAATATTTTTTTAATTTTCATTTCTAATGTTTAATGTTTCAGAAAGAAGAAGATGAAAAAATACTCTGTTGTCACTTTAAAATACATCTATTTTTTACCAAGCGTTCCCACCATGAAGATGTATCAAATTTCAATTTCAGAACTGACATTTTAGAAACACATATACATAATGTGTTATTCATATTGACCATAATTATAAGCCATTTGATTTAAGATAAAAGAGTTACCCTACATGTGTCAAAGGAGATTAAAATGAAATCTATTATAAAGATCACTTTTTCATTTAAATTTCTTTAAATGAAAGAGTTGTCAATGTTGTAAAACACGTTTTCAAAAAGGAATGCAATTATCTTCTGTTTCTAGTGAACTTATACTTGTAAAGAATAACCAGATCCATTGTTAGACAGTTATTGGAATTGAAAAGCAGTAAAGTTATCATTAACTTAAAAAAACAATTCAATATCATCATTTTAGAAAATGTAATTGAACGATTAAGATCAAAAACCATGCAATTTATTTAAAACTATTTAATTTCTATTGACAGAATAAATATCTTAATGAAATTTAAAACACGGAAATCGGAGTCAATGTCAAACACATATTCAGCCGTTTTGAAAAGTAGAATGAACAATCTTTTGTTCTATATTATGAACGTTGAAGAGGGGAAACTCTCTGTAGTATCATCATTGAAACGTGCTCAATATTCCAGAATGTGGATAAGATAAATTAAGTTTCCGCCTGGAAAAGGATCAGTAATTGAAACAAGTTTTCCAAAAGTCTATCTTTTAATTACATCAACCAGACAGTATTCGTAACATCTCTGTCCAAATCATTAAGTAGGTACACACGACCTCTTGTTGGTATAAAATGCTATTAAGATAACGGTTTTACACAAACTTTCTAGCGAATCGTTTTATTCTTTAATATTAACTGTTATTGATAACTCAATGATATGAGAAATGATTATTAAATCTCGGGCAAAGGTCGAAAAAGTATGTTTTATTTGAGATATTCGCACTAAAAGACGTCCGACATTGATTAAAACAATGATTAAAATAAATTTTTGATACTATCTACATTAATTTCTGCACAGACTAAAGTATATCTTTATCAAGCAAATGTATCAAATGCTAGTCTTAATACAAAAATTGTAAGATGTTATCTTTATTTTCATGGCCTAAGAAACCTTTATTTTAAATTATTTTGAAGGCAAAGGTTTGGTGCAAAGACAGGTATGTTGTAATTGAATTGTTTTATAGCCTCTATATGATGTGCAATCGAAACAAAATGCCAATTTCTTAAAATATACTTGGTTACACTAAAAATTTAAAACAGATCAACCAGCCTTTTTTGCTGTAAATAAAATGAAAAATTGCAATGCTTGTATGTTTAGTGCCGTGTAGCTGTAATTCTAAACAAGGCTTCCTGTGAAAGTGACATGTCTTATGATGAAATAATGACTGCAAAAGATGTTCAAAAATCATCATTTGTTTCAATTAAATATATAGTTACTTATAATATCAGCCAATCAGCAAATTGAATTACTTTTATATGATTTGAAATACTTTCAATTGACTTTTTTTTTCACACGGTTCACTATTTTCTTATTGACCTGTTCCAAGTACTTGTAATTTCTTGTTTAATTTTTTGTAGCTTTGGTTTATCGCTCTACTACATTTCCAACTGGTGTAACATCAACTTGTGTTTAGAAATCCTACCAGAGTTAAGAAAATGGACATATTATTGCGCTCTTTGAGAAATTTTTAAACTATGACAAAGTAGTTCTGAATACAAACCTGAATATCTTTTTCGAGAAGACTTTCTGACTCGCCATCATTTGCTGATTTTTCTACATATTTATCGACGAAAGAATTTGCATTTGAAGTGAGTGTATCAGTGTTCATGGTCGTTTGTTTGTTACCGTACATGTGTCGTGAACCACCACCCTTGGACATCATTGTTGTATGCTGAACCTCATTATTTTTACCACGATATTTATATACAAGATATGCCTGTAAAAAGATATACACAAACACATACTTTGTTAGCCCACAACATAACATATAGTATTAAAAAACGCAACAACAATTTAACCATATTATTATATGATACCAGCTGCATTGTAATTGGATCTTACAAATTATGAAATAATAGTATACAAATCTGTGAAATAATTGAATGGCTGACAATGAACATTTCATATGTTTTATTTAGTATTGGCAAAGTCATTCTCATTACCTTAAGTTTTTTGATTCAGTTTAAGGTTTTGTAGGACAGATTTTGAATATCACTTTTAAAGAGATGGTGGTTGCATAAAATATCCATCGCCTGTTTATCTGGTATTACATTACAAATAATTTAATTCAACCATTAAAATTAAAATTCAATTACCTGCTTGATTGTATACAAGCTTACATTGCTTTGAGATTAGTAGCAATCTTGATTTTTTATTTAACTCTATATATAAGCAAAACATATATTGTAATGAAACACTGCCAAATCAATTAACAGATCTAAAATATACTTTTCAGATTGTCTGTAAATTGGAATCTATTGTTGGCAAGGTAAGCTTTGGGCCTTAACCTCAATAAGTGGCCAGCCTTTGCAAGCAGTATTGAGCGAGACAAGCCTACACTTCCATGTAGTCTAACAAGGCTCTTATTGTAGAGAAATACTATAAGTAGTTTAATTTTAGTGTTTTGATTTTGAAATCCCTTAATTTGGAAAAACGACTATCAAATACAAAGCCGTGCATCTCAATTATATGAAACTTAATAGTTATGAGAAAGTAAACTTTATCAAATACAAACTAAAAGACATAGGTGAATATATAATATATTGCAACAATATTTATTAAATCAAATTGACTCCGAGTCCAAAGTAATAGAGGCAGTTAATCAGAATCAACTGCAATGATTGATTTATTCTTAAATCATTTGTTTAGTTTTATCGTGTCTCCTGGGTTGACAAGATGAAACTAAATTATTTGGAAAATGAATAGATATTTGGAAATTACTTTGCAGAAAGATATAGCAAACTAGCTCGGATATATTTTGATTCAATATTGATGGATGAATTAGATACGTGATCCCACACAACATCTTGTTCTTATCAAGTCATTTCAAGCAATAGAAAATATGACTTCTGTAAAGCAGATCCTGCTTCTGTTTGTATTTATTCTGCCTAATTTGTTTTTGGATCTTATTGCATTCACTTTTGTTAATTAATAAATCATTCTAATCGGTAGTGTCTGGAAAGAGAGCAATGAATCATTTTGAATAAGTAAGCACTACTTCATCATTTACAGTTAACTTCCTTTATTTCTTTAGTGAATTTACGTTCTTTTGATATTGGAATTTTTCATTCAATTGTTAAGAGGTTTGACTTTCAAAATAGAAATATTGACTACCGACGGTGTACAGCATTGTTATACTTCAAAGAATTTCTGGCTTTATATTGGAGGAAAGACTAATTACTTTTGGTTACTGCAGGTTAAGTGTCAATACACTAAGGTACGACACGAGTGTTTCTGTGTTACACATAAAAAATGAATTGTCTATATCAGTGGCAAAATTCATACATTATTCACGAGAATAAACACATTTTACTTGACAGAAGGACAGCGGCGTGCGGCGATTGCCTTCCAAAATGTCTAGTAACAAAAGTCAAATATTTGAAATCCGTACGGAATCAATGAATTATTAGAAAAGCATAGCATAACATAAATTATGTAATGTTCTAAGTCATTTTATGTTGAATTTGACACTGCGTCCAGGAGTTGATGGTTCGATCCTCGGCCGAGCTGAAATTTCTTCGTAATACCTGATCTCGGTTATCGAACCCAATGATCATTTGTCCCTCAACGCCAAGTGAGAAATCAGCGAGATTGATAGTGGTCGTTTCCTTGCGATGAATTGTTGTTAGGTTCTTTAGGTTATCCAGGAATGCCCTTCACTTAAGAAGAATGACCGCCGATATACCACAAAGATGAGGTTAAATCGGCGTTAACCCGTATAAACAAACAAATCATATTGATAATATCTAACAATAACGTTTACCTTACGATATGAATAAAAAAATACATACAAAACGTTTGTTATTCAGACAAAGCATACATAGTTCACTTACTTTACTTCCAAAAAGGAAAGCCAATGTAACTGTAGTTGTTAAATTCGAATGAATGAAAATGACAAGATATAATAAATCGGGATTCGCTGGAAACGGATCCTGTAAAAATATCCTGAAAAAATGAAATGGATCTTATTAAATTACCCTTAAAAACCAGGAAGAAATAGATCTTGTATATAAATTAAATCCAGAAAAACTGAAATGGATAGTGTAAAAATACCCGGAAAACAAAAAATAGATCTTATAAAAATATCTTGAGAAACAAGGAAGGGATCCTTTGAAATATCCTAATAAGCAATGGATATTCACAAAATCATAACATGATACAACTTGTATAGAGGAAGAACATATGATATGAATGCAATGTACTTTTTGTACAACATTTAAACATCTAAAGTAATTTATACATTTAGAGCGCAAACCTAAAGCAACTTACATATTCTTTGTTTTTATTTCTGTTGAACATAATGTAATATTAAAATCCTTTGCAAATTAGCAATAGAATTTACGCTATCATATTATATTTCGACTTGCTTTATGCCTGATATGAATGTTTAAAACAATACCTATAACATTCACATTCCTAATTTTCATAATATTACAATTTTTATAAAGTTTTTTTTACTTTTCATATACACGTAAGAAAAATGTAGTAATGAATTGAGTTGCACAAAATTGAAAATGTCTACTTACATAGAAACATTGAGGAATAATGACAAAAGTGTTTCGTTATAAATCGCCCAGCTGATGAAACGACTTTCATTGAATTCGGAGGGTGCCTTTCTAACTACTATACACAAACGTATTCCCCAGAGTAAAAATAACAATTCGGCTGAAATAGCAAAGAAACAAGAATATCAAAGATAAATAAATCAGATTCATAGCAAAGCAAACTCGTACATTTTGAAGTATAACTAAATTAATTCGAGAAAAAGAAATTTATCATAAGAAAACCAGAACGTGTAAGTAATCAACAAGGATTATTTTTAAAATGCTGCATTTGTAAATGAAATAAATATTAACTAAGAAGACATTCCTGAACGAATGACTAAGTTAGGTAAAAAGTAGTTAAATATAGATCAGATGCTACGCTTAATATCGGTAATAAGTGCAATAGTATATTTTTTATGAGATTGTTTTGACTTTCCCGATTTCTAAAAACGAACGTAAAGATTTATGTTAAATAATGTAAACAAATCACATTTTTATTGAAAATTCAAACACATAAAACTATAACTTATTACAAATGAACCATGTATAATTGAATACATAAATGCCAATTTTTATTAGTGAAAAACAAAACAAACCGAAAAGAAAAATACCCACTGCATTTCTAAATATTAAGTAAATTGTAACAACCACAAGGACAAAGAATGTTTACCTATAGCCGCTGAGTGGTCCCACCAGTCGGAAGAGCATTGGAATGCTTTTAGACCACTTACATGTTTACCTGTAAAACAAATATACCATGACCATGATTACAATCACTTGAAACGTTTAGAGATTTACAGTCCGGACACGAATGTTATCTTAGTGGGGAGGCACAGACAGAGGGACAGGCAGACGGATAGACGATATATATGATTTTGTTATATGTCATCATATTAGTTTTGTTCTTAATCAAATTTCATAGACATTTCTTACAAAAGAAAAAAATACCTTTATGTTTCTGAGTTGATTTTCATAATATACGTATTAAGCATAATTGTTTATTAATAAACATTCTTTAGAAGATTACAAGAAAATTTGCATTTTTGAAATAATCTAAGCTTAAGTGGCTATTTAATTTACATAGACCAGGGATTGTACGAAATAATCTACATTTGGGCTGCGCCATAACAAAACTAACGTAATGCGTTTGTGACCAGCATGGATCCAGACCAGCCTGCGCATCCGCGCAGTCTGATCAGGGCTTACACACCCTAAAACAAGTAGAGAAACTGATAGCGAACAACATGGATCCAGATCAGATTGCGCATCCGCGGAGGCTGTTTTAGATCCATGCTGGTCGCAAACGCATTACGTTGGTTTTGTCATGGCGCGGCTCATGTGTCTGTAATATGAAGAGAGAAGATATAATCTGTCCAATGGTTAATAATGCATTTTAAAGTCAAAATATAAAAAATATTAGATAATGCTATAACTATCAAAATTGAAAGTGTCTACTATTATTCAAGAATATTGCAAAAATTATTAAAAAATATAATAATAGCATAAGATCAAGAAATATGTGCGAATTTAGTCATTAATAATTAACGATATAATTAATCTGTTTCTCTTCTAATGAAAAAGTATAATTCAATTTTCTTTTTTTTAAATCATGATAGATAAACAATTAGGTTAAACCAGATGGTATTTTTTATCTTTTAATTCAGTTAATGAATTAGATAAGAATATTCTTTTCAAAACGAGTTAGAAATTTGAAAAGCCTTTTATAATTTTCTAACTTTCTCTGTTATCGTATTTCACAAGCTATAAATGTATATACATGGCAAATAATTATGTATTCCCAAAACTATTTTAAATACTGTATAAAATGTTTATAAACTGAATATACATGTAAAAATGTCAAGTACATAGTTAAATTCTGCTCTTTATAACCTTCAACAGGTTTCTACATAATGTAATAATATAGGACATATGATACCACCTTGTACTACTCTAGGTGTCCCTGCTACTGTCCTCGCTACAGAATACACAGCAAATAACAGCGATATGATAATCAGTCTTTTTATAAGATCTGTGTCTGATATTTTAATCCTTTGTGCGGACCTTACGCGGAAGACAACAGATATTCTGCAATAAAACAAAACATTTAAAGCATAAATATTTATATATATTCTCCCCACCCACCGCCACAAAAACTATATCTTTGATAAACTTAACAATGACATTTAAGAACATGTAACTGTTAACATGGTTAAAGATAAATTTTCTTTTTCTGTTTAAAAGATATGTAAATCATTTTGAGTGTATCCTTATTACATATACATTCATTATTCTTGTAATTCTTGTAATGTAAGTTATACTAGAAAAGAACGTGAAAAACATGTTTGGATTATAAATGTATTATAAGAACAATTATTATAATAAAATATTGATATCACAATAAGTAGTGCATAGAATATACACTCACCTCCATGTTTTTAACAGTAAGGCCCCGTATGAAATAGAGAATCCAATTTCTCTGAACCAGAACCGTAAACAACATGTGAGTACACTGGCCTCAAAATAACTTACTATAAGCTGAAAAAGATAAATAATAGATAAATAGAAAAATGAATACATTCTATATTTCTGTGCACGAAATGAGAAATAAAATGAAGTAAGGTAAGAAACAATTTTAATCCATACAATTTTATATACATATGAATTAAAACAGATTAATTCGCAAAGAAACAAATTAACTTTAGTTCCTCCCTCTTCCACGCATGAAATTCAGTTGAACTTGATTTCGTATGAAAACCTTTAAAATTCTGGTTTATGTGATTATGGAACTATTTTATTCAGTTGCAGCTGTAAATGAAAAAGGAACTGGTTTTAGGGAAAAATCATATGTTTTGGTATAAATGTTACAAAGGTGTATACATCTGAAACAACAATCGCACCAAATAAGAAGAAATAAGTAGAATGCCCGTTGACCTTGAACAAATCAAGATGGAACAATAGACGCCGTGAATGACAAATATTTCACATATTGTCCAGCGAATAATTAATGGTTACACCTTTACTGACGTTTAACGGCCGGTGGACAGTGTAAAAATAGATGTAAATTCTTATAATCAATATTATACAGACAGAATATTGTGCAAGAATATATCTTACGGTACTCTATGGTGACAAGCATACGAAGATATATGATGCCATACGAGCAATTAGCATCGCTAAAGAATGACATCCAGACAGTTGACTCATTGCCTTTTACATTCTTCATTGTTGTATCAAACAAACCCCGCCCCTTGTGGCTGAGGGTTTAGCCTTTAAGGGTTGAAGCATCAGAATTCAAGCAATCTTTTATCCATGCGTGATCGTGAGAGGCGACTAAATGGGTTCGCACTACTGGAGATTATGCATCTCTTAGCTTAAGCAATTGAGTTTGTTGATGCCTTGTGGTACTTTATGTTTGTACCACTCTAGGTTATCCAAAATAATCTTTTCTGTTTCGGAGCCATATGACCTAAATTGTGTTCGTGTGTCGCAAAACCAGATCAACAAAACAAACAAACAAAATATCAAACAATCCTTACAGAAAATGCTTATTTAAAACACGCGAAACTAAATTTACACTATTCAGCAATGATATTACAGAAATACAGTGTTACATTAGTCGCATTTTTCTGTTTTCCTCAAAGATTTTGCCAATTCAGAAGATGTTTGCTAATTTCTTTCCAAGGTTCATCGCATTAGGAATACTTTGTATGCAGTTCGTATCATAATTTCCTAATAAATAAACCTATTTATTCAGTGATTTCGCACTTTTCACTTTTAGCACGAGCTTCGTCATATCGGATTTGAAGCAGATATTGAAAGGAGAAATCACACACTCTATAAAAAGGAACGGAAATTAAATTTACAGGCAAAAGAAAGTAATCTTACAAGATGAAACTCTTAACTGAAGAAATCTATAGTGTAATAGAGAAGTATCTATTGAGCAGTGTGACGTACCGAGCATGTCTAACATACCATATCAGCCTATCAACCTCAGAACTATGATCTCCACTTTTATCCATTTATTTATACTGACGACGGTTCTTATTTCAAAGAAGTGTCTTTTCGTTTTGTTTTAATGGATACAGAACTGAATGTTATTAAGTGATGAAGTTACCAGTACAATTAAATTTCCTCTAACCTTGTTTGGATGTTATAATATAATATTATCTGTTTACAAAATGTGTAAAAAATATTCAAAATCGTTTCTACTGAAACAGTATAACATTGCAACAATTATGTTTATTCAAAGATAGATTTTTAGGAGCACATTTCAAGAACTTAATTCATTGCCATTATAGCTTTTAATATTCTCACTATTCCTAGGATTTTTTTCCTTGATCATGTGGTTGGTATAACTACATAAAACATTTATTTCAGAATACATTCTAATGAAGATTTCAATCACCATGCTTTTTTCCGTACAAATAATTTCTATTTATACAGAAAAGAAATATATATTCCAATTACAAGTTTATATTTATCACGGTATTCAATGACCTTTTACCCTATGACCTAATTAATCTTATAGTCTGACTATAAAGTCAAGAGTTAAAGTAACGCTAGCTTACGAATTAATACAGCGTTAAACACAATTTGATGTTATTACCACGGCATTACGATGAGTTTATTGACAAATGTCAAATTATGCTTGATACCCATCAATTCCTCCAGTGAAAATATATTGTGGTATCGAAGAAATTTGCTGACAAATAACACTTAATCAAAGTTTCATATCGCAATGCGTGTTTGATTTTTTATTGAGAAATGCCTTTTATTGACAGTGCGAAGTCATGTTTAAATGAAATAGATAAGTTAGATTGAACTTATAAAAACAGTTCAAAATTTATTGCTTAAATTTGTTACATTTTTGAATAATGCGTTCTTGACATGAAGATCAATATTCAAGAAAGGACAACAAAAAAGCAAGTTTTGGGCTACGGAAAATATACATCTTTGCCTAAGGAGAAGAAGTTTACCAACAGCTAGGACTAATGGTTTCATCATACAGTTTGATTTACATGTAATACAAATACATGACTATCATTATAGCAGCATCTATAACGTGCATTTCATGATAATTTTAAGTTAAAAACATACTTACTGGACAATAAAGTAAAAACGCCCCAAGTAATATGATCCGCAGTAAAACTGGACTAGCTGCCTTTAATACCTGAAATTGAAAAATACAGTAAGAAACTAGTTAATTACAATAATATTTTACTAAAAGTAACAAATACAATACAAAAAAGGGCATAACTTTCATTCATTTTCATTTCATTTTACTAAAATTGAAAAATACATTTCTAAAGGTAGAAATAACATTTTACTGAATAAGATGATTACTTACAATTTAGAACTTTTATTGACATTATACAAAAATTGAAAAGTACAATAGAAACATAAGAATCAACTTTAATATTTTATTGAAAATTGAAAAATTTAACACGATACAAAAAAAAAAATAAAAATCAAAGAAAAAAATAAAAGAAAAAAATGCAAAATACAATACAAAAATAAGAAAACAACTTTATTAATTCAATGAAATTTGAAAAAAAATAATATGACAAAAATCAATTACAATGACATTTTACTTATATTGAAAAATACAATACAAAAATAAGAAATAACTTTATACATTTTACTAACATTGAAAAAAGAAAAACAACAATGTTATACGAAAACAATCAATGACTTTAAGATTTTAAACCAGTCTGCATTCAGAAATAAATTTTCAGCACCAGACACTTTTTGAAATGATCACAACGTGTGATTTCATTATGGCCCGGCAGGCAATTCAAATAAAATGATATAGCTTTCGCAGAAACAAAATTGCACAGCGATGAAATTGTTACTGATAGCGTCTAATTTTAGATACACTGTGAAAATTATACGTCGTCAGAAATAAATGGTTGTATTTGACCGTACAATTAGATATACAGAAAGATAAATAGCGAAATAAATTGTCGCTTAATTGCAGGATTTAGATACTTCTCATGATTCTGAAAAACTTGTTTCTTTTTTTGTCTGACCGAAAGAAAATCAGGAATATTTAACATTTTTGAGGCCATTTGATCATTATTATAGTCATACAAAAGAAACATTGGCACGATTTGTCAGATTTGTTCAATTTTTTTACATCTTTGTGTAAAAGCGTATTAATTAATGCTGTCAGTCAAGAACGCAAGAAAAGATAAGTGTACATGGTGTTACTGATAAGACATGATATATTGCCAATATGGACTGAAATATATTTGCATGACGTAATCCAAGAACACTGACCTTTCTTCTTTTGATCTTATACACGTTATTGCCTTCATTAGATCAATATTTAATTTAGGGATAAGATGTTGTATTAATTCAATCATTGAGCATTATCTATTGATATAGCAATCCATTACCCGCTGTACGTTACAAACACTTATTCGTTCTAATTGTACAATATTGACTGGAAATATATGATTTTTATTCTGAAATTAAGCAAGAAAACAAACTTCTTCGAAACCGTTTTGTTTGATACATTTTTAGTACAATGGAAACAAAAAGAGTGAACAAAACAAACAAACAATTGACAACAACAACAACAATAATAATAATAAAAATAACAACAACAACAATGACAAAAATAACAGCAACAACAATAATAATAACTATAACAAGACAACAACAACAAAAACACCAATAAAAACCAGAAAAAACACAGCCAACAACCAAACAAAAACAGTTTCACACTTTCATTATATAACACATATAAAAATTGTGTTTTGTTATTGTAATGTAACACACAAACTATACAGCTATTCAGTACCTTAATATCCCTGTACTGTACAGTAAACCATATCAGTGCTGGTATACAGCACATGATTAGGGCTGATACAGCCAACACCACACTACGTTGTGACCAATTTAGTGTTATAACACATGGACTATCGTCCTCACATACATCACAACCATCAGCACACGGTAAACACTCAAAATGCTTATCGTAGTAATCACTTTCTCCCTAAAATGACAATAAAAGACTTTGTGACATAATTCTATGACAGAGACAAAAGTTAAAAGAAATGTTTTTTCACAATATATATTTAAGCATAACATTTGAATTAGAGAACAGTGAAATCTTGTTTTTCTTTCGAACTTGATAGTATCGTTTATTTTCACCAGCGAGCACAATAATCTTTACATACCTTTCAAGTTTATTATAAAGATATTCTTAATCACTTGTTCGTAAGATTACGTGGTATGAATGATTTACACATATTAACATCGAAAGAAAACATAATTTGTAACATACTGGTAGGGCAGTAAAGTCCTTCTACTGTTTTAGTTTAGATATTTTATTTCAAAAATGTTGCCCAAAATAAATTTACATATAGTACTGAAAAGCACAATACAGTGCTGAAAAAAGATCAGATCTAAAAGCATAACATACTTAATGAAACCTTTTTCTAACATAGGATTTATTAATATATATAAGACAGGTTTTGAAAATAGAATATTAATCCTAGTAAACTGAAGAAAAATAAAAAAGACAGCCGTTACTTAGTCACGTTATAGACCTACTAAATGAAAAGTGACATAGTGTAGAATCTTATATCTGAAAGTATTAGAAATAGGAGCTTAACAGATTCAATGTTATAATTACCGTAAGAATAAATTTAGTTTAAGACTTTTATGATTTTCTTTTTTTGATATGGGTTCATTTATTTGGCTTTCGAAATGTCAAATGAATCGTGTATGCAACGCAACTTAATATGTTCATAAAGATTCTAAAATCACAATTCTTGAGACAAAAAAATGTTATGCATCTGTCATTAATTCAGCCATTTTATGTTTATGACATAGACCAGCCTAAAGCTGAAAAGGAATTATTAATCACTTTCGGAAATGTTCTGTTTTTATTCATGTAGACGGCAGTCATTAGTCTATGATTTGCATTTGTCAGGGGATTAAATGATTGAAGAGCGGCCGTTTATAGTTGATAACGACAGGAAACGCGGACAGAACTTGCGACCGACACATCTAGACTCAGTCGTATTCTCATCTTTTATTTACTTAGAAAACAGTGTAATATCGTCATTAGGTAATGTTTTACCCGTTAGGTTCACCAACGTCATTTACAGCAATGCGCAATGATCCACGTGGTTTCTTTTTTTAAACCATCCTTTTTTGCTTAACTAACAATAGTTAAACAATAAAAATAAAATACTTTATAAAATAAACCTTGACTTAAATGAAGCTCTGGAATTGCATATAATGTTCTTGTAAGCAGACCTGAGCAGTTTTACTTTACCATTACCAAATATATTCTAAATTATATTGTATATCATTTTGTATATTACGTATTATATATTATTTTGTATATCAAATGGTATGTTATAATGTATTTTATATTGTATATGAAACAGTAAATTATTTTGTATAGTATAGTATATATTATTTCGATATATGATATATTACTCGTACATTGTATATAATATAGTATGAAACATTGTATGGGAAACACGTTATATGTTACACGAGATTGTTATCTTGTTATAGAAAAAAAATCGTATGAATGTTAATACAAAGCATCGCAACAATGTATATAAAATGTATAGCATTTTGTTACATATTTATCTATATACAAATGTAAAAAAGGTTATGTTAGCTATTATCTTCTAACATTAAAAATATGTGCAATAAAATATAATATAAAACAATTCAATATAGAAAGTACATTTAAATAATGCATCATTTTATCGGAACAGTAAATGTGGTGCTTTGTAGCAGTATCTTAGACAGAGAGTGTAACTATTTTCTTCAAACTGTACTTTGTAAATAACACATTTTTACAGACAACATTGGCTATTAGTATAAATAATTGGCACACTCATGCTCTCTATTTAGATTCTATGTGAGGAAGCCATATAATAAACTAACGGCAAATGACCCCTACCTAATGTCTGAACTATTGCAAGTACACAAACCCTCGTCCTTTCTTACAAGCACTGAAAGTCGTCGACATAGACTATAAAGGTCAGGAAAAACTGTAAATTTTAAAATGATTTATTCGGAACTGTTTTCCCTCCCAGATTGAATTGTGTCTGTAACATTGAAATAGAAACATATTAAACACTTACATATATTTTCTCTCTGTATCGTATTTCAATTTCCGATCCATTGTAATACTTGTTCAAATCCTTTGTATTGGGAAAATAGAACCCATCTTTGCAAACACATTTATAGGAGCCTCTCCGGAAACCGAGACCGCTGATAGGAACACACTGAATAAAAAAGACATAGTGTTTCATGTCATTATATGTATCAGGCTGTAATATACTTCAACAAAAATAAGTTTTAGTAAGAGGGCTTTAATAAGATTAGTAAAGCCTTTTAGTAATGCAACATAATTACATAATGTCCAAATTACACGGGAATAGAATTACAAAATGCCAAAAACAACCGCGTTTCAAAACTGTAGCAAGTGTATACTTAAAAGCTATTTAAATACAAGGGCAAACTACGAACCACACTGTACAAGGCGTTCAGTTTTGAGACAACGGTTACTGCGACCGAGTTTTGTAAAAACATTTTACCAAGAGAATCGTTAATGTTCTTATATCTTCCGCAAACATTGGAAACACTCGAGGTTATTTACATGTTTATCAACTAAACCACTAATTATTGTAGTTTTGTCGTTCCTTTTTAATTATTCACTGCCTAATTTGTTTAACTATGTAAAGAACAAGAGATTAGTATTGTTTGTTTAGCAGATGCATTTACTGAAAATACCAATAGCTTATTTTCAAATGTCATTAAATATATAAACATCGATTTTGGAATGTAAAAAGAGAAGTTAACATAACATTATGCCCGAACGTGTTAAAAGAAAGATCACATGGTTCAGCTATGAAAATACTCTTGCATCATAAAATATTCATTACTTATGACATTCGTTCGCCAATGTAAGTGACGCATTTTGATAAAACCACAAGAGGGTATTACGTTTTCTTTTATTGATCAACGCATCTTGTCTGGAATTCAATTCAATGAGTTATGTAATGGAATTAACGATGCTTCTAAATCAGGGATTTAATTGACTGTGAAAGACATACCCTAGGGCTTATATCAGACATTGAGCACATAGAAGTATTTAATAGTTGAATGATGAATATAATTCGTAAATTCTTAGATAGCATCCTATGTTCGGCCTGAACATATTTGAATCGGCAGTGCTCCCAATAACCTTCTCAAACTTCCTGCGTTTGTGTGTGTATCTGATTCAGATGAGGGCATAGCAAGTGCGATGTTTTTATTTGATTTTAATAATTAATGTAGCTTTCATACCAAATTAATTCTCTTAAACGTTTTACTAGTAAGAAAAGCTGGCGAAAAGCCCTGTTAAGCACAGTCAAAACGAATAAAAAATGTTGTTCATGAGCTCTATTTCGTCGTTTCCTAAACATTAAAGATAGCAATAATTGTGACATATAATTAAACCGAGCAATCTTCTATGGATCTTATGTACTAAATATTTGCAACTTTTACTTGCACGGATATATTTTTGCTGAATAATACAAAGTGTCTTTTCTAACTGTGATAGCTTTATTTGCAAATATGAAGTAACGAACCTTTGTTGTAGCATTTTTGCATCTAGCTGAATTTGCAAAAACATTTAGCTCTTCTCCTGGTTCATTTGGACACTGATCTATATCAACTTTCTGAAGATCTATATCAATCCCACTCGTTCCTCTGAAAATAAAAAAACCAAACATCAATATAAACTTTTATATTGTCTAATACAGACTACTCTTAAGACCCTTTATCAAGCAAATATAAACCAGTTTATCTTCATTTGTAAGACAGGGAACTTATTTGGTTATATTACTATATGACCATGATGAAGTGGAACGCGATCTTATCCGTCTCAACAAAATACAACAATTGAACTAAAATTTCTTATAGATCTATTAAAATTGATAGTGTTTCTTAAGCAATATAGGATATTCATTAAACTAAATAACACTTCACTTGTCTTTCTGTCAAAATTTCAATTTTCATTAAAATAAAGATCTTCCTTTAATTTGGAATACCTTCACTGGAAATAATTTTGATTGATTAAATTCTAGATCCACTTAAGCTCAAAGAATGCCCTAATGATTTTCAATAAAATATACCTTTGAACAATAATACACTCGAAGTGAATACTGAATACTTCAAGGCACTTGCTTGAGAGCTGATTTATCTAAAAACTAGCATAAAATTTTTTTAACATTCTTGTTGCAGAAAATGGTTAGAAAACATATTCAAATCATTTTAAGGTTATATTATTTCATATGATAAAAAGGTAAAAATTGTGTTGCTAAAAAAGCAAAATAAGGATCACAATGCAAAAGATTTGATTTCATGTATTGTATGATTTCGTTGAATAAGCTTGTAAGACAAGACAATAGCAAGACCATGATTGCTAATTAATGAACCATGAACAGACTCAATCAAACCGAGCCTGCAACATTTTCAAAATTGCCGTGTTGGGCGTTCTTTGGGGATTCTTATTTCTCTCTATTTGATTGGACAAGACTCGTACTATTTAATGGTGTCTAAGAAGGTCGGATCGACAGGCATCAGTACATAAGCTTGCATGTCTGTTTGTTTGCAATGTTATTAAAAAAGTATGAGGGGTGTCCGTGGCCAAGTGGTTAAGGTCTTTGACTTCAAACACTTGCATCTCACCGCTGTTGTGTTCGAGTCCCACCAGGGACTTAAATTTTTCTCAAACGAGGAAGCTAACCAGCTCGTTAACAGAATATCAGTTGTTCTCCTCAGGTGCCTGGGCGTGCCGGAAATAGTGTCTCTATCTTACAGAACAGACAATATCTAACTTTCCTTTTTTTGCTAAAATAAAAATTATATAAGATATTGGATATGAAAATTATAAAAGTTATTGGATATGTCCTATTAAACTAGCTTAAAATATGATGTTAAAATCACTATTTCATGAATGTTTGGCATTTGTACACACTAATTTTTTTTCTCGAAAATAATGTTATATTTCAGTTTTACATTCTTATCAATATGGATTATCATAAAAACAAAAACAAGTTAACGGACATAATCTAATCAACATTAAAATCTATACATAATGTCGTTAGTATTGTATTGAATGCAACATAGTTAAGATTATCAATTGAAAAAAAATCATATCATTTGTAAATCAAGGAATAAAAGTACATGCGTCAGTGCAATAAATGTTACTAAATTTTAACCCGATATAATCTCAAGCATGTCATGAAATGTCCGGATATTATCTAATAATATAAATTTTAAACCTTTGCAACTTAAATGTTTTTAATAAATTTGCTATTCTTTAATTTGTATGAGTAGGGTTAGTGCCTTTTTTGAACAAAACTGCATACAACTTTACATGCTAATGGCCTATTCAGTAAGGCACACAATTTATGTTACACGACATTTACGTCTTATTTAATCTGATCTGACGTAACCCTTTATTAGCTGTGTTCTGTACATGTAATTATCGTTAAATGAAATCTGTTAACAAGTTCTAGGAATGTCTTAAGGAAATCAGGTCCAAAGTTTCTTGTGCAGAGCATGCTTTTAAAGTCTCCTAGGAAATTAGACGTAAAAACCCGTGATTAATATGTTTTGGTAAATACGATCAAACTTCTCGCCAAGGTTTACGGTTTCGTTTAATTCTAATGAATGTTTTACATTGTATTTAGATTTATATGTATTTGGCATTCGTTTACAGGAAGACGTATATAAGTGATCAGAAATGCTAGAAACATTTAATCCGGTAAAAGCAACTACGGTATTTTAGCTACTAAATATTTTTAAACAAATTTATATTTAACGAACATGTTTAAGCATTCATATTCATGGAAACAAAAGGACTCAATTGCCTTTTCTAATTTGAAATCTGTTTTCATAGAATTCAATGCTAAATTGAAATAATTTAGATAAAAAATTTAGTTTTTAAATGGCATACATTAGACAGGTATGTAAGGTAAACAAGGATTTATAATTTTAAAAGTTAATTAATGTTAGATTAAACATGACCGTTTACACAAATGATAGAACTCGTCTCAACTGATTAAAATGCCAATTATCCGTACATTGTTTGCTTCTTGCCTTTGACATGAATGCTCTTTCATAACTTCATGTCATGCAACTTGTTTAAAATCATACAGTGTACCGGGCTGATCAACACACATTTATGATAAAGAAAATCATGAAGTTATACAAAAATGGAAAATATATTACGAGTAATCGTTTTAAATAACACACGCTATGGATACGGGATAAAAGTAGGTCAGATAGACATGTGTGTATTTTGCACTTTATATTCCCTTCATTGTCTCATATTGCATCGAAATTTCTAAACCTGATAAATTAAGTTGATAATCGGGAAACATATTTCTATTATAGCAATGTTTGACATTTCTCCTTCATGATATCAGTCAAATTATAACGTAACATCTTATTCCCTTAAGTGGTGTAAAAAGTAATTTTCTACTGACTATTTCCTATAATAAAGTCCCAAATGAAGCACTTTTGGTTTCAGATTATTTTTTAGCCTGAAATAGTTTCCATAATTTCATAGAGTTCATCTGAAAAATAAATGCCTACAATGATGTCATGTTCAATAAATTTCATTCAGAGAGATTGCAATTCTTCTGTAAACATATGATGATAGGAACTACTTTTCCAAAAAAGTAATCCATTTTAATTATTCAAACTGTGGTAATTATCAGAGATAATACCTCCATGAGATGACATTAGTTGTTAAGCTATGAAAAATGTCTGGAATGAGCAGAAATAGGTCAGGTGGCTGATGTTTAAACCTAATTGCTTTTCTTTCATTTTCTAGATAATTTAAAAGGTTGCCTATTTGAGTTAACGTTCTGGTTTCATTTTTATTGCCTTTTAAGAATACAGTGATATATGTAGACGTAGAGCTTTTAAAATCATTGAAAAGTGAACTTTCCCTTAGCTGTTTCGGGATTAACTGCAAAAAAATCACTAATATTCATTAGTGCCTTATTTGAACAAAAATGCAAACAACTTTACATGCTTATGGCCTATTCAGTTAGGAACACAATTTATGTAACACGATTTAATCTGATCTGATGTAACTCTAATATAATGTGTAGGCACTCTACTCGGCCATAAAAGGTGATAATATTAAGATTAATATTTAAATGAATTTAACTGTTGACAATCTATAGATTTTGAAATATATATTTTCTTTGCAGAAAATAATGTTTTGATATACTGTAGTTCTTTGTCTTAGTACACCTCTAATAGTAAGTGAAAAAAGACAAAAAATTAATATAGTATTGAAAAAAATGTGCAACGGTACAGTAACCTTCATCAGAAACAAGAAAGCCTTAAAGATCAGGCCCTAATACTATATAATTTCAATAAATGAAATTAAAAAAATCAACATTTCGCTTAAATTAAAATGTCAAATTTGTGGCGTTTAGCTTCAGTTCATAGTAAGACAATCTCGCATATTTTACTCGTAATTTTAATACTAAGCAGTATCTTAAAATAAAGTTGAATTTCAATAAGTAGCAAAATGAAAAAGCAAATCAATTCACACATTAAACTTCTTAAATGCATTTTCTTTGCATTGTATAGTTCATATATTATAAACGATTAATACAAATGAAAATTATTTTGAATACATATAAAATTAATTGGTCTAAAATAAAAGGAATGTAATAAATAAATAAATTATTATGTTGATAGTATGTAGTATCAAAAATAACAACCAACCACGAAATAATTATATACGTAAAATGTTGGCAACTGTGAGATACATGATCCGATATTACATTTATTTATATAGCAGATAATAAACTGTTCTAAAACAAAATACTATTATCTATATTATAAACGATCATACTAAATCACTTTGAACTTCATCAACACAATTTCCTTTCAAGCAACATTTTATAAGAATATCCAAACGATACATATCTATTGTTTTTATCAATATTTGAAATACTTATGAAAAACATGCCTATTGTAGACCTATCCAATTTAAGGATCAATCTTAAACAAAATCAAAGGGAAAATGTTCCGAACAGAATCTCGGTATGACTACCATTTTGCAAATTTCAGAATTTATGTTTAGAATCTTCTGCTCTAACACGTAAACCCTGACAAAAATCGGATCCGCGATACTCTTATAACATGTTTATTTTATATTTAAAGATAATGCACACACACATCATATACTGGGCTTCTTATTAAGTTCAATAGTGTCATGTGCAAGATAATATCTTTTATATATACCTCATGACAAAATTGACATTTGCATTACTAGCACAGTAGAATTGTCTGGGAAGTCGGTCAAATGACTCTGTTTATTTGTTTTGGGAATAAAACAATGGAACAAATAAATTTCTTCAGAGAATTGAAACTGTAGCGGTAGATGATATTGCAATCTTATACATCAACAGGAAATATCTATTTTATACATAACTAATTATAAAGTACATTCATCCTTCCTAGTAACGCTTAATTGCTTCACCACATCAATTGATTCTAATCATTGTCTACAATTTAATTGATACAATCTTCTAGGACAAAACAAGCTCTAAATCGACCTGTGACATTACGTTGGTGACTTATATGTTTTATAGCAATTATCCAACCGCTGAAACACAAACACAATTTGTTCTATGACGATTTCTATATTTTTTTCCCATTTGTCATTACAGAAC